TCCATGCTCAGGACCCCCGGCCGCAGCTCAGCGGGACTCAGCTTCAGGTGAGCCAGGAGAATGGCTGTGGGCGGTGCCGCGATGGTGAGCTGGGGCGGGGCCGGGTGGTAGGGGGCGGGGCTTCTAGAGCGGCAAGAGGCTAGTGGGTGGAGTCAGGGTGGGTCCAATGAAAGGGGCGGGGCCTAGGGAGGACGCCGCAGGGGAGGCAGTCCGCCAAGAGCTAGGGGTCCTCCTGCGGCGGATTAAAGGGTGCGGGCTGGGCTCTCAAGGAGATAGACCTAGACAGACCCTCACTGGGTGAGGTCTGTTGGGGTTAGGGCCAGGAAATAGGGCGAAGTCTGTGAGGGGGAGGTTGAGCTGGAAGGGAGGCCAAAACTGGGAGCCAATTAAAGAGTAAGGATGGAGTGGACGAGAGGCAAGGCCGATGGGGTAGAGCCACCGACCGCACCTGCACCCAGGTGGGATCTAGTTAGCAGTGGAGCATGGGAGAGGCCTTCACCAAGATGGGTGAAAGGTGTCTGGGCCCACACAATCTAATCTCTGCCATCCCCCCTGGGGAGTCCGAGGCTCCGCTCTTCACAGCCCTTGGGGCTCCCAGCTCCTCACAGGTGTTGTAAGCCTTCTTGTGGGACAGGATCTCCACGACTTCCTTCTTTCTGAAGGGCTCGGGCCCAGGGACCGGCTCTGCAAGGGAAACGACACTTTAATGAGGGGAGGTTGAAGTTGGCCGTGGGAGGACCCGAGTGGTGTGGCTACAGCCAAAGGTCAAGACCCACCTCCCCTCAAGTACATCCTTAAGCAAATCAGCCCTGAGTGGACGCTGGGGTCTAGTTGAACACGGTGTGTGTGGTGCACATCCATCCCCCACTGCTACCTCCTGAAACACCCTCTCTTCCTGGCCCTTGGGACTGAGCTGGCAGAGCAATGAAAACCCACCACTCTCGTATTTTCAGATGATTCCTAAATGGACAGGGTCTTTCTTCTCCATCCTGGGACCACCTGCTATACACAATAATTCTGGCAGCTTCAAGCCCACCCAGCAGCTATGTGGGGATGCCCAGATAGGAGCAGGGGAGAGTGAAACCATATTTGTGAATGCTTCAGGCCGACCCTATTCTGGCTGTGTAACTTTGAACAATTTAGCCTCTCTGTGCTTCTTTATTAGAGTTGTCATGGATTAATTTAGTAATGAGAATGCCTGGCATTTGGTTAGCAAGTAAGTAAATGCCAGGTATGACTACTAGCTCCACTTTGAGATGGAAAAAACTGAGACTCCAAGAAGTTAAATAACTTGGGGCTTGCAGGTTTGAAGGCTCATTAGGTAAACAGCAGTCCGTGGTGCAGCCCCTCAGAGACTCAATCCAGGGATGCCAGAGAAGGCAGTGGGTGAGCTGCTACAGATGGTGTGGCATCTAGGGTTCCCCCCAAGTCACTAGCCACTCACTAGCAGGTTTCTGGGTGCCAAAGTGGAGCTCCAGGTCGAGGTATTTCACCATGTCGCTCAGCTTATCATAGTCAGAGTCTTCCCCGAGCTGCGAGGGAGGATTGGAGGTTCAGAGTAGAAGAAACAGTTCCAACTAGCCTGCCCTCTTCCATCCCCACCTCCGGCCACTCTCTCAGGGCTACCCCGGGGGCACTTGAGGGAGAGTACTCATCAGGCCCCGGAATAAAGCCACAAGCAGGTGGAGACTACCAAGGAGGCCAGATCACCCTAGTGGTGAGCTGGCTTCTCCTGGCAATAATACACTCACACTTGGAGTTCTGTCCATGCAGAAGCCTCAAGCTGGGCTGGAACTGGAGATGTAAAGGAGTTATAAAGGGGCTGGAGTCAATGAAGGGGGCTCAAGGAGGTGGCTGAGGGGCCGGGCCTTTTTTTTTCAGGTCTCCATTGCAGGAAATGAGTTTGCTGGAGCCACCCTGGGCAGAGTGAGCTGGCACTGGGGACACTGAAGCAGTGACATCTAGGAACTGGAAGCTGGATGAATGGTCTAGGAGAGGTGACCATCTGAAACAGCCAGCTGGGGCTTGGGCATGGAGTGAGGATGGTGTAGCTGCCAAGGGGAAGATCCCGAAGGGAGGGCAGGCAGAGACACGCATGGCAGCAAGGCAGGGACAGAACATGGCTTCAGGGAAGGGACAGCTGGTGTGGATTTGGACTCGGCCAGATGTGTGACCTGTGTCCTTGTGTCCATCTTTGGTAATCAGCAGAAGGACCATCCTGTGGAGCGAGGCTTGGAGACCTATCTACTGGTAGGAGTGAGGTCTCCAGAGGACCCAGGAGGTCCCTGTTTGTGACCATGTCCTGCTGAGCATCTTTATTAGCAACATGGGAAGGTGCCTGGGGATATGAGCTGATGCCACCTTGGCAGGGAGGGCAGGAGACAGAACCAGGACCAGAAGATGGCAGTGGTGAACCTGTTGAGGGGCGCTTGTCTTTCTCTCCCTCATTAAATTCAAGCATTGAAGTGGAAGAGGAGACTGGTGTGCAGGAAATCAGACCAGCTTCCTTTTATTTTGTGGAGAGTTTTTTTTGTTATAGGGCACCTGCACTCTCCAGAAAGACAGACAGAAAGCGAGAAATCACCCGCCAGGGGGGATGACCATGCTGCAGTCTCTTCTCCTTCACTCTCCTCTCGAGATCTTGGGCATGCACACACACGTTCCCAGTGTGAGTTTAAGCCACTGGTCTGGGACTCGAACCATGGTTGACAACATGGAAGTCCAGCGACGTAGCCATTACGCCACCTGTTGGTTCCACCAGCTTCCTTTTTAAGACTCTACCTAAGAGAACATGTCTGGCCTCAAGAGTGGTAGGTTTTGAGGGTGAATGTGGAAGCATTTCCAGGTGTTCTCAGTGTGTCTTTGGCTTAAGGACATAGATACCAGCTTCAATATCTGCACTGACTACCAAGGATGGGCATTATCTTTGCACTGGGCCTCCTCTCTTCCTAGGGAAGACCAGGGGATATTTTAGCTGATGTTGAAAGCCTGGAAGATGGATCTCATCTTCAATACACCTGCCCAGGTTGCCCTCCCCTGGAGTAGGGCACTGGTGAGCCCCGGATCACCTACCTGACCCCAGATGGTGCCTTCTGAGTTCTCCACCTGCTCCCACCGCAAGCGCTTGACACTCATATGGCTGGTCTCACTGCGCCGGTGGCCCAGGCCCCGGGACAACATGGGGGGTGCACAGGGCACAGGAGGGGGCAGGGGTGTGGGGTGGCAGTGGTGGTGGACTGAGTGGGGGTGGAGGGATGTGGTCAGAGATGGAGGAGTAGGTCAGGGAGCTGCCTTCCTCACTGCTGCTGATGCAGTCGCTAGCGCTGCTCCGCTCATTGGTCACAAAGCTGCCCTGGTCATCGTGGAAACTCATCTGGTGGGGAGAGAGCAAGGTAAGGAGAGGATGATGCTGGGCCCAGAGAGACTAGAATAGATGTAGAGGTGTGTGTGTGTGTGTGTGTGTGTGTGTGTGTGTGTGTGTATGTGTGAAGCATGAGGCAAGGTGAGGGTGACTGGGATAACCTGAGACACAGGGCTAAAGGTGGGAGGACCGGAAGAGGGACAGAGAACTGAGGCTTAGCCTGTGACTATGGACGAGGTAGCCTGGGATAAGGAATGGGATGACCTAGGACAGGTTATATGGGACAGCCTCCAGCAAGGGGCAGGATAGCTTTAAACAGGGGATGAATAGCCGGGAGCAAGGGGTGGGATAACTCAAGCCAAAGAGTGGAGTAGCCTGGGGTAGCCAAGAGCAGTAGATCTCTTGCAGGAGCCTGGGGCCACTGCTCCCCCTACAGACGTCCACACCTCACCCCTACCCTCCTGGCCTGCAAGCCCACCTCCTCATAGTCATTCTCAGGGGTCAGGAAATCATCCACGATGGTGACCCGGGGGCCCAGCTGCTCGCTCAGCGCATCCAGGAAGCGGTCAGTATCCCGGTTCCGCATTGGGCGGGAGAAGGTGAAGAGTTTCCTGCGGCTGGGTGGGCGGGCAGGATCCGGGCTGGGAGGGCTGTCAGGGTGGACAGGCCCAGGGCTCGGCTGTGGGGAGGGCGCCCTGCTGCTGTCCAGGCTGGCGTAGGGGTGGGACTCGGAGCTGCTGGGGGAGGCCAGGCCTCCTGAGCACAGCGGGTAGTAGCAGGGGGAGGGCACGAGTCGCTCGCTGGGCCATGAGATGCTGGACAGGGTCCTGGGCCCTGGGTTGGGAGACAGAGTGTGAGGCCCCCTCTTCATCCAGCACCTGGGTTCCAGGTGCAGGTGGAGGGGGAAAGCCCTGAGGTAGGTTGTCTGTGTGCCGTGGGGCCTTCCTCTTT